GGGCGAGCATGTTTTGGTGTGACAGGGGATTCGAACCCCGCGACCCTCAGATTGCGAGTCGAGTGCCTTAACCACCTGGCCATGCCGGGCCGCGAAGCGTGTTTATGGGACAATGAGTCGCGAACCATGAATCCTCGTATTCACATTCCATGCACGTTAACCACTAGGTCACACTCTGACCAGCTGAATAATGAAATATTTTGAACGGTACCCTAAAAGTAAAGTAAGTATTTATTCCACGAATTCAGAGTTTAACAGTTTGAGAAACCAATAGATATAACTGTTTAACGCAATAGTTTACGATTAATATTGGCTAAAACCCAAATAACTCCGAGAATACCAGGAACGGAACGAAAGCTACAATATATGGCTTTAAAATATGAAAACGAATTAAAGTTTACATTAAAAAAGTTTCATCAAACAGACCAGCAGAGTACTCAAGCCTCAAATTCCAGCCTCGTTTTCCATATCCTTCACTATAGGTGATGTCCACATATCGTAACATATCGACACTTTTTTGTTTGTTATAACACAAAGTGGGGTTGGCATGGCATGGCCTGATGGTTAGGGGCGCTCGTCTCGCAAATTTTGGGGGTCACGAGTTCGAATCTCCGTCACCGACCATGCTCGTCCTATATGGCTGCTGACTGGGCCAGCCATCGGGGTGTAAAAATAACTCGTGGCTTATAAGAAATACCGACTGTGACTCCAAACTAGTTGGTATTAAGGTCGTACAGGAAGGGGGGGGGGCACTAAGTGTAAAGAACTTACAAGAAAAATTCAGTAAAATCACTTATTTCCTAAGTAAATTAAAGACTCCAGCAGTAATTGATGGGATTAACTGTAATATTGATGGCATTTTTAATTCAGCGGTAATTGATGGGATTAACTGTAATATTGATGGCATTTTTAATCCAGCAGTAATGGATGGGATTAACTGTAATATTGATGGCATTTTTAATCCAGCAGTAATTGATGGGATTAACTGTAATATTGATGGCATTTTTAATTCAGCGGTAATTGATGGGATTAACTGTATTATTGATGGCATTTTTAATCCAGCAGTAATTGATGGGATTAACTGTAATATTGATGGCATTTTTAATCCAGCAGTAACTGCTGGGATTAACTGTAATATTGATGGCATTTTTAATCCAGCAGTAATTGTGGGATTAACTGTAATATTGATGGCATTTTTAATCCAGCAGTAATTGATGGGATTAACTGTAATATTGATGGCATTTTTAATCCAGCAGTAACTGATGGGATTAACTGTAATATTGATGGCATTTTTAATTAATTTTCTGTTTAACTTGTATGGGGGTCCTATATGTAACAACCAACAAAATCACGAACCCAAAAGCAATATGGGGTACATACAGTTTAGACGAATGTATTTTAAGATCCCACAGACAACTTGTTAACCTAAGTTCTTTTCTGTGTAAAAGTCTATTTATTAGAGAAATATTGTATCATGATATTTCGTAGTTTTATTAGGGTTTCTTGAAGAAGTTCCAATAAGTATAATTTTTGTACTAAAGATAATTACTTAACGTCAAAATACTGCATCGTATAACACCTACATTTGGAGTTAACGTCAAAATACTGCGTAATACATAACACCTACATCTGGACAAACAACCTCTGTGAGACATGACGTCAAGAAAAGATCGGAACGTGGGTAGATGCAGAACGAATCACAATTACCCAATCAAAACGCTTTATATATGTTCGTTGCTCTCTTTCTTTTTTTCTTTCTTCATAGTGCAGCGTCCTTAAGAGGGAGAGAGGGGGCTACTGGAAGCCGTAGCTACGATGTTTGTAATACGCACTCCCTAGAAAGGATGGGTTCTTCCACTATCGATAAGTTGCGAGTGTTCAAGTCCACTTATGCCTGTTCTAGTCGTACTGGCGCCGCAGTATCCACGATTACTCATCGCTGAAACCGGACTTTGACGTACGTGTACATGCTTCTACACGCTTGTCCGGAGACAGTTCGTCACGTAAGACCCAAAAGAGGCCAGTAAATTAAACTGTTAAAGCCATATGTGTAGTCTCCTGTCTCGTCAGTTTATATTCGCTACAGCAAGCAAAGACTGATAAACACCATACAACTAGCAGTTTTACTTGCGCAGAACACACAATACCAAAAACGTGTTCTTTTGTTGATTACGTTAAATACTTAGTTTCGTTAGTTCAAGCTTCACCGAAAGAAGATCTTTGTGGACATGTTTGTATCCTAAAACTCAGGTACTACGGAAACATACACTACAGTAGTGAACTTCAAAGTGGCAGACTCATTCATAGTGTATATTAAATACTGTACACTACAGTAGTGAACTTCAAGGTGGTTCTTTAACATACTCATTCATACTGTACACTACAGCAGTGGAGTACTATATGGTTCTTTAACAGACTCACTCATACTGTACACTACAGTAGTGGAGTAATATATGGTTCTTTAACAGACTCATTCATACTGTATATTAAATATTCTACTGTACACTACAGCAGTGGGGTACTATATGGTTCTTTAACAGACTCACTCATACTGTACACTACAGTAGTGGAGTAATATATGGTTCTTTAACAGACTCATTCATACTGTACACTACAGTAGTGGAGTAATATATGGTTCTTTAACAGACTCATTCATACTGTATATTAAATATTCTACTGTACACTACAGCAGTGGGCTACTATATGGGTCTTTAACAGACTCACTCATACTGTACACTACGGCAGTGGAGTACTATATGGTTCTTTAACAGACTCATTCATACTGTACACTACAGCAGTGGAGCACTATATGGTTCTTTAACAGACTCATTCATGCTGTAAATTCAGCACTCTGCTGTATGCTGCAGTAGTACTATCTTGTGTGGTTCTTTAATAAACTGTTAAGAAATACAAGTTTTTTTTATTATCAAAGTAATAAATGTAAAGTACCCCACCATGCTATAATACTTCAGATGGGTGAATATTAAGGTCTTACTGTAAAAGCGGGGAAAAGCCTCAGTGTTTTAACAAGTAGCCAAGAGCTAGTAATATTAAACAAGTCACACTACTTTGGCAGTGGTTTAAATATACTTGTTCCCACTAAGCCTTTCCACAACAATCTATAGTCTAACTAGTGTAAAACGCTATAAAAAAATATAATATTCAACATTCCTCATAGTTGTTTAATTCTCCTTTTTTGTGTGTGTGTGAAATTTATGGCCTTTAATTTCTCTTACAGAAGATAAAATCTTCTTTATTTAAGAGTTCTTGTAATTATATAATTTATAGCTAAGTTGTTTACAACAGTGTGTTATTTACTTGAGTTGTAATTGTTCCTAACAACCTAGCCACCCAGTAGACTACTTGGTAAAGCACTGTAAGCCTCACAGAAAAGCACATTTTACAGGCGTTGTTATTGATCTGCCTAATGACAATCTTCTCTCTCTCTCTCTCTCTCTCTTCCAACGTCTTTCAATACTAGACAAATACACGGACATAACGAATCTTAATAAAGGGGGGTTATTTTCCAATCGCATCCGAAACCATTATCAATTAAGTGTTTCTCTTTTATTTATTTTTTATTATGAAATATTTTTAATTCTAATCAAGAAAATATTTATCATTTTTGTTTATGTACTCCGAATCATAGGTATTAACTATATTTTAAATATTACTACTTACCGTCGCACAATGAAATTTATTATTTGAAATTTCTTTGTATTTCCTAATAGTAGAAAGTTCCATAATGAGATATTTCCCTGAATTTTTGTTGTTGTTCAAATCTTATTATAACGATATTTAAATTATTACTTATATCAATTTGAAAAAACTGTCTGAAAAACAAACCAAATTTATAAAGAATCGTATAGAATGCAAAACAGTGAAAACATTTTACTGTAAATTATAAATACAATATTAAAATATTATAATCGAGAACTGGTAACAATATAAATATTAAAAAAAAACTCAAGATCATCCTTAAAACTACACGCGTATGGAAATTAAGAGTTTGTTATTAGAAAATAAAGTGTGTAAGACCTAAGTTTGTGTTGAAATACGATCCTCATTCTTTAGGCCTAAATAGGTTTTACGCTTTGCCAATTTGGGCATTTCATACCGTATAAAGTGTGCAAGACCTAAGTTTGTGTTGAAATACGATCCTCATTGTTTAGGCTTAAATAGGTTTTACGCTTTGCCAATTTAGGCATTCCATCCCATATAAAGTGTGTAAGACCTAAGTTTGTGTTAAAATAAGAGCCTCATTGTTTAGGCTTAAATAGGTTTTACGCTTTGCCAATTTAGGCATTTCATCCCATATAAAGTGTGTAAGACCTAAGTTTGTGTTAAAATAAGAGCCTCATTGTTTAGGCCTAAATAGGTTTTAAGCTTTGCCGATTTACGCATTCTATAACGATATAAAGACTTAAATATGGGCTGAAACACGATCCTCGTTGCTTACGCTAAAAACGGATTTACGATTGCCAAATTAGGTTTTGTTACAACATAAAAAGTATGCAAGAATTCGAAAGAAATTTATGAACAATTTTCAATATAATCTGGGTAATTATTCAATCTAATTTCGAAACTAATAATTAGCCCAAATCCTTTTCAAAACAAACAAAAGCACTGTGAATTATTATACATATATATGTGCATACGTGAAAATGAGTTGCTTTTGAATATTTTATTAGTTAAACGTCATTTATTTTATACTAATAAAACAAAGCCACTGGCACGTCAGTTAGAATATACCAATTTAAAGATATACGTACGATTTCATTTTAAGAACTCCTTTGAATTAAAATATTTCCAGTTTTAACTAAAACATGACACATTTCAAAGTTAGCTAACGATATATATCTTTCCTGGCTACTCAACAAAATAGTCAGCTCATGAAGCTTACGAGACTTACATGTTGTATTTCCTCCCATAGAAATGATGCATTTACAGTCCTTCCCTATTTCTCGGTTGTTGAAAGGCCGTACTCGTACCGCCACCTTAACAGACGACATCTTGTTTCGTGCCAAAGACGCCCAGGCGCCTTAAAACTTCTGAAAAATAAAATAGAAAATGCTATATTTGAATATTTATCTGATCCAAAAATTAAATATATAAATTACTTTCTTGACTCTTTTTGAGACTGAGTATAATTACATAATAATAATAGTAATATATTACGATATGGACATTATGGGACTTTTGAAAAAATTAATTGAGCAAGGAACGTTTTACAAAGCCTAATAGTTCAAATCACGCTTATTGGTCAAGCAATGTTCTTATACCGAGTGTTTTACCTCCATTCACTCACTACTTTTATTAACTTCGACCACACTGTTGATTTTATTATAACTACTTAGTAAATGTGAACAATATAAAATACATGTTTCTATTGCCAGCAAACATAGCTTAAATTAACTTATTCATAATTCGAGTAATCTGAGAACAAAACAGGGGTGTTAGAAAACTTCAGAAGTGAATTTATTTTCATGATTTATGTTCAACAAATGGGAAAAGTTTAAGTTACCCTCTTTTAAAAAAAAAATCATTATATTAACTGAAATTTTGCACTATCTACATTCATAGTATTAGTTGAACGAATATCTCGTACTGGAAATATCCAGTTAGCCAGGTCTTAAGTTTGGAAACATCTCGTACTGGAAATATCCAGTTAGCCAGGTCTCAAGTTTGAAAACGTCTCGTACTGGAAATATCCAGTTAGCCAGGTCTCAAGTTTGAAAACGTCTCGTACTGGAAATATCCAGTTAGCCAGGTCTCAAGTTTGAAACGTCTCGTACTGGAAATATCCAGTTAGCCAGGTCTCAAGTTTGAGACGTCTCGTACTGGAAATATCCAGTTAGTCAGGTCTCAAGTTTGGAAACATCTCGTACTGGAAATATCCAGTTAGTCAGGTCTCAAGTTTGGAAACATCTCGTACTGGAAATATCCAGTTAGCCAGGTCTCAAGTTTGGAAACAATCTTACAGAAAGTCCCCCCCCCTCCTCCAAAAAATAAAAAAAAATAATAATAAATATACAAAAACTTTCTATTCGCTGACAAAAATCCATGAAGACGATGACATTACTGCTAAGTTTCACCAGTTTTCGCTACCACCATAAGGCGGGAAATAATTACCAACTTCTGTGTTAGGGTATATGTACAACCACTCTTCTAAGCCGGATTACCAAGATACGTACTTTCCAACTAAACACACACACTTTAGATAAAACCTTGAGGTAAACATCGTAGACACAAACACTTGACGATCCTCGTGTGCATGGCTGTTCAACCCTAGTCGAACTCACTGAATTAAATCATAAGTCTGTAGATCAGTCCTATTAAGCTGTCAATACTTAAAGCTTCGAATTTATTAAAATTGTATATCTATTAAGATGGGTAAAAAATGTACGAGCCAACTGTTCGTACATCATCTCATGAACAATGTTACATTTAATAATACTGATATTTCCTATCCTCATGAATATATATATATTGTCGTATCTTATAACCCGGATGTTAAGTGAGGTGACGTATACATCACTGTCTTTTTGTATCTTCGTTTGTAGTTAACCACGATACATTTTCTTAGGATTACAAGTTTTTTCGGAACTATGCTAAAATAAAATAAAAATATGTGGTACTTTCTGAAAGTTAAATTACAAAACTACCTACCAATTGAAGGTTCACAATCTACAAGACTAGATGTATTTCATACATACGGACTTTCGTGAAATTTCTACAACAGCTGTTTCATGCGCATTTTCTTTTCAATTTCATTCGCGCGTATTTATAAAGATATATTATAAATTATTTTTGAATAAAAATATCTCTAGAACACTTCACGGGCCTCATTTGTTACTTTTCTACCACGCATGACAAGTTCTTCGTTTCATTTTATTGGAATAATCTACAACACAGAGGCCTAAAAGCGTCCTCTGTAGACGAAAGAAAACTACTGTTCTTTCTCTTTTTATTTTTTTATTATTATTATTATTATAGCGCTACATCATAACTGCAGCTTTTGTAGAAGAGTTCTTGGAAATATTTCTACCTTGGAGGACCGCCTCGCGAGTTGCTGATGCCCAGATGTCTGCTTCAAGAACTACATAACTGTTTTACTGTCATGGCAACTATTGATTTTACGCCTTGCCAGTTCTGTCTGCAGTGGATGCATTAGGTAAAGAGCTAGAGACTTGGCTTAACTCGACTTATTGGTCAAGAGTTGAAATTTTGAGAGAACCGAAACTGGTACAGAACACCACAAACTGAATAGACGATAGTTTGATACTCACAAAATAATTATTACACTCCAACTTGGTCATCAAAAATCTGTTCACCTACTGAAACTGGACGCTTAAAAAATAATATTGATGTCGTACCGATACCTAACCATTCTAAGTGTACTTCAAGTTAAGCTTATTACGACAAGTAGCCATGTTTCTGTGACATGAATACCAACACATACCAGTAATTTGAGCATCTGTGAAATGTGAAGATTGTTTGTTTGTTTGTTTG